CACTCCTCCTTATCCTACTCTCAAGTGTTTGGAAGAGTAAATCAACTCTCTCTTCTCTGTGACAGTCCTCATGTATTGGAAGACAGCCATTGTGTCACTCCTAAGGCTGCTCTTTGTTAGTTCCCTTAAACATTCACCATTTTAAATATACAGAAACTCTTCTTGGTGACTGTTCCCTCAGATGAATCTGTTTGCTTACTGAGGTCATCTTTGGAGACCCTTCTTGGTGCTCTGATTTCTGAGAAGAAGTTAGAGGCAGTGAAGATTGGGCTTTTCAACTACAGCACGGGTGTCGAGCTCGCCGTGTTAACTTGCTTTCACGTGATGTTTCGCAATGTTTTTCCCCTTTGCAGAGCTGGGGTGGGTATGGCCTTCAGGCTGCCTGTTTGACACTCCTGAACTACAGTATTCCTCATTTCTACTGTCATTGCATTGGTGCAGATAAACAGAGTGTCTTTTTTTAAAGGACTTCAGTTGTTTTCAATGCTATCACATTGAAAATAAAGTAAAAAAAATATTGAAAATAAAGACAAAGTGTATTCTGTCTGCTTTTAAAGTGCTTTGTTGACTACAGTTGACTACAGTTGACATAGGTATAATATAGGGGATGCAAGTCTCTTTTGGGGAATTTACCTTTCGGATCTGGTTAGTTGTCAGCATTATAACATCTGTTCCTTCATGAAAACACTGAGAAGCAGCCAAATATCCAATCCTCTGCAAAATGAATAAAAGTAATCACTATCTAAGACTCAATAGAGTTGTGACCATCATCTGAGAAACAAGGAGTCCAAGTAAAATATAGAGGTGGTGCAAAAGAATTGCATTAGGGCAACAGTTGGGGCTCTCAATAAACTATAACTTAATACATATAAAATGTCAGGGAAGAAATACAGAAATAGTTCTGGATGTAGTATTTAACTTTCAAGATCTAACTGTAAAATGTATTTAAATATATGGGCAATACCAAAATTACAAAATCAGAGAGGGACCCAAAAGAAGGCATCTAGCAATGATGAAGGTTCAATGCCCTGCACAGCTTCAATGCCCTGCACATCTTACTGACTAGCAATATCAGAATTTTGCAAAGTAAATATTATTTTGTTGACACAAAACAAGATTGTATAATAACTTTTACTGAACAGAACTTAGTTCCCTTTTACATTTTGTTTTGTTTTTTAAAAAAAGAGATACACAAACTGTTATGGCCCCAGCTTTGACAAGGTCATTCTGCACATAATTTAAAGTCATCAATAACAGCAATTCTTGATGGTTTTTAACACTCCAATTTCCACTTACTTTAAAAGTGAACTTGGATGCACTCATTACTTCAATGATGTTGAATGCTGCCCAACTGATATCATAGCCCAGCATCTGCAACTATTAAGGAGATGGGATGTGGGAGGAGAAATAAGGCATTAATCTCAAAACAAAGATAAATCAAAGTTACAAATACATTTCAATGTATAAAATATTTGCCTGAATATTTTAACCTGAGTCTATATAGGAATACTTTCTGATTGTTGAGTTATGGCCCCCATATTTTGGCTTGCAAGACAGCCTCTACATCAGAAACTTAGTTTGCATAGAGCACTGAAAGAACATCCTGAATAAAGCTGTGCTTTGGTTGTCCTTCTGGCATACTCACCAAGATGTGCTAAAACTGTTCAATAATGTCTTTGTAGCTAACTCAGCTGGGACGATGGTCAATATTTAAGAGCTCATTAGCTGACAACTATGACATATGAAGAATTTTAAGTTGTAATAAAAGAGGAATATGTTGTAAAAATATCAATTAATGAATAAATGAAAACTAGAAGTGTTACCTGGTTGGGAACCTGAGTCTGAGCTTATAAAGTGGAGTGGATTAATACATGTATTATTTATTATTCATTAATACATATGTATTTATAAAACAAAATGAAGGTGTGTCTATGAATGAAAGGATGAAAATGTATGCCAAAAATGAATTAGTATAATCTATATTGTTGTGGTTCATATGAAAACAGGAATTCACAGGTAACAGAACATGTTGATATGAAAACTGGAAACAAACTACAGAGCCAACTATTTTTATACACATAGAAAAAAGTCTAGAATAAAAAGGTGAGTTTATGTACTTTAGTACAGGGGTCCCCAACCTGTGGGCCATGACCCACTAGTGGGCTGTGTTTGCAACTGGGCTGCAAAAATGGCTGGTGCACGCACATCCTCACTTGCGCGAGCAGCAGGTGAGCATGTGTGCTCAATTTGCATGAGCAGCAGGTCCCTGTGTACTCCGCTCGTGCAAATGGGCTTGGACACATGTGCATGTTTGCCGGCTGCTCACGCAAAACCATCCCCTTTCCTCCCCCAATCAGTCCACAAAGCTGGAAACATTGGGGAATTCTGACTTAGCAGATGGAACAACTTACTAATTTTAAGACATGCAAATACTAGTAGAAAAGTAGTTTATTGCAACAGTATTATCTGAAAAAAGGACAAATTTGTATATATTACAGCCAGCTTCTGCTGATTTTATGATAATGAAGTCACTGTCTTGTATAAAGAAAGTTGTGAGTAGGAGCTTGCCTAACAACCCACTTAATGACAGGAACTGGGAATGCAAGGATTGCTGTTGCTAAGCGATGGAGTCATGTGATGTCACACTTTTCGACTGCCTTGCTTAGGTGATGGAAATTCTGGTCCCAACTCTAATTATAATTTGAAAACTACTTATCAAAGCCAATATATGCCAATGTGGTAGAAACAAGGAGAGTTTGCAACAATGGCAAAGTATGGAGAGAGATATATGATGGTGCTAGTGATTACTTTTTTAAATTTTCATTCTTCATTCCATTAGTTTCTTTTGCTATATTTCTTATTCTTTCTGTTCTTTGCATAATGATACTTACAGTTGAAGGGTGTCGTACAATATATTTATAACCAAAAGCAATACCAAAACAGCAAAGAACACCACAATCAATATAAAACATAAGCTTTTAAATTAAGTGCCTGCATATTATCACTTGAAATTTATTATAGCTGCCCACTTCCATAGGCTGGGCTGCTTACCAATGCAAATTAAAAATAATAAAAAAAACATTAAAAACATACAACCCTATAGGCAGTCCAGACTAAAACAATCCAATTATTATAAATCAAATCATATGGCCAACATAACATTTCTGCCTTAGAGGCCTTTCAAAAGTTGCTGCCAACCTGTATTTTTAAAATGATTGAAGGAGAAATGATTAAAGGAGTTGGGCCCACCCAACACATTTCATCAGACCAGTCAAACCTAGTCACTTATACAGCTTTAACCTAGCCAGTCTGAAGACTCTTAATTGACAGGTTCTCAGAGAAAGCCAACTCTGCCCGATCTTATACGACGGGCATTAACCACAGGAGATAGGCGATCCCTTAAATAAATAGGCCCTATGCCATTTAGAGTATTAAAGATAACAACCTTAACTTTGAATTGCACCAGGAAGTCAATTGGCAACTAGTGCAGCTCACAGAATACTGGCACAGCATGGCTACCCATCACTGCTTGTACTGCTATGTGCTGTACCAGTGCAGCTTCCAAATGATTTTCAAAGGCACACACATATAGGAAGGCAAGCTCAAAACCACAAAGCGATCACATCCTTTACCAGATCTTCCAAGAAATAAAATGCTATTAATATATCAATGAACAGTTCTGGAACATTCAATATTCTATCTTAGGACATTCTAAATGAAGAAAATACTCACATAGGTGAGCTTGCAAACAGCATTTGCTTTCACAGCAATATTATCCTGCTTCAGTTCTTGTTTGATCTCATCAATGCATTGAGAGATGTACTTTGCCTGGAAAAGAAAAAGAAAAGTGAGGTCATTGGTTATAAATAGGATTTTGTGAAGCCAGAACTACCCAAATTACCAATAGCTGTAAAACAATTCACAAATATTAAGTTTGTCTGCCCTAAGGACGCAGGTAACAATTTCTATGCTGAAATGCAGAAGGACTGACTGTCTTTAAGAGCTGGAATGGAAGAAGGCAGTCAAAACTAGGAGGCTGCTATGTCAAATCATGATCTAGTCTAATAGTCTTAGCAGGATAGGAAAGACATGATCTACAAAAAGTCCTCACTTAGTGATCTCTCATCACTGATTGTTTTTAAAGTTATGATGACACTAAACAAAGAAGCTTTTATGACCTGTCCTCAAAGTTGTGGCCGTCACAGGGTTCCTATGGTCACGTGATGATTCAAGAGCTTGGCAACCAATGAGCATTCGGGAAGTCCTGAAGTCATGTGATTGACAATTATGACCTTCTCTAATGGCTTTCAATAAGCAAAGTTAATGGAGAAACCAGCAGGAAGCTGCAAGTTACAATCATGTAATGTTGCACAACAATCGTACATGATTTGCTTAATAATTACAACTAGCTGCTGGACATTACAAGTTAGTGCAGTCATGTGATTTTTTTTTCCATTTTATGACTATAATGTTAAGTTCCTATTCCCAATTATGCTTGTAAACTGAGAACTACCTGTAGTATATTACAGGTAGTTGTAGTAGGCTCTGGCTTCATTAAAAACCTACCTTTGCCATGAAATTATCTGAGGAATACATGAATAAATTTGTGTTAACATGCAGTTAAAAAATGCACATCAATTTTAAATGCTAAACAAATCTCAACCCTTCTTCACAACTGACTAAAGTATTTGGAACTGAAATTAAGAAGCATTGAAGGAGCAATTGTGGAGCTTCCGATTGTTGACAGCTCTTTTCCAATACTTCATCCCAGGCTTGCAGAATATTGGGGGGATTGTGCAAACTTGCAGTTAATCCTTCTGTACTGTTATCTGATTCTGCCCAATGGTTTCAGATTTCTTCCAGCCGCACCCAACACTATAGACTCTTCCATCATTTGCTTCTTGGAAAATGCTTTTAGTCACAGGATTTTATCCTATCAATTCACTGAGGCACGTGAAGTGATTGGTGAAAGGGCCAGATAAAGAAACAGAAGCTCTGCAACCCTCAGTAAGAATTCAAAGTCAAGTAACATAAATTTAAGATGGAATTTTTTAAAAATCAGGAAAGAGTACACAGCTCTGTTCTAAAGCATCCGCTCTGAATGCAGACAGTCAAAGGTTCAAGTGGTGAAACAGCTCAGGTAGAAAGACAAAAGCCCCTTCTCTAGCATATTTTGGGGGACTATCGCCTGTTAAAATAGATAATATTATATCAGACAAATAGTCCAACTAGAATTCATCTTTGTAAACTGTTCTGGAATTAGGAAAAAAATATGGGGGAATGAATGGCCTTTCATACTTGACTCTCAGAAGGTCAGACCAGGGAACCGCACAAAGATGCAACATGCAGCGTCATCTCTGTGCTTCAATAAAAGTAACTGAATTTACTCAGCCTTGATAAAATGACCAGAGCAATGATTCACATGGAAATGTGTGCAAAATTCTCCTATGTTAGGGGAGAGTTAGGGCAGAGGCTCAAGGAATTCTTACTTTCTGAGGACATATTTGGAAATGATTAATTTTAAGAATGTGCAACTGGAAATTCAACTAAATTTCAATGTCATGTTTCAAGTGACAGGTAGTCCTCGATTTACAATAATTCATAATTCATTTACAATGACACTGAAAAAAAAAGATTTATGACCATTTTTCATTGCAGCATCACATGACCAAAATTCAGACACTTGGCAACTGACTCATTTATGACAGTTGAAGTGTCCCGGAGTCATGTGGTCACCTTTTGCGACCTGCAGACAAGCAAAGTCAATGGGGAAGCCAGATCACTTAACAACCCTGTTACTAACTTAACAACTGCAGTGATTCACTTAACAACTGTGGCAAGAAAGGTCACAAAATGGAGCAAAATTCAACTGTCTTAAGTCTCACTTAGCAACAAAAATGTTGGGCTCAAATGTATTCGTAAATTGAGAACTATCTGTAATATGCCAATCAAAGGCTTTAATTACGGTACAAACATCTGAATGCAAACACCTCTTTGCTCAGAATAGGCTCAGATTGGATAGCTCTATGTGAGTCTCAGTTCATGGCCTTCAGAACCTTTGCTAATTGCATAGATGAAACACAACATGGTTCATGTCCTTGCTTAATCATTAAATTCTCTGGATGACTTTACAGAATGACTGGACTACTTTCTTGCCATGTTAATTCCTGGGATATAAAAAAGATAATTCCACGGATGCTGATTTGAGCTACTGCTGGTCATACTCCATTGCTTTCAAATTTTGAAACAAGCAAAAAGACTCAAATTTCACAATTCCACCTGGAATATGAGATGCTGAGAGAACTCCTTGTTCAGTATGCAACAGATATTTTAGTATATAATTCTTCACAGTAAATATTTGATGGCTATGTCCAAGCAGACGCATACAGATGCTATAGAGTCCATCGCTTGCATATCTAATTCTCCAGATCAGTCTGAACAGTTCTTATACTTCCCAAGAAAACTGCAGCTCTTGCTCTTACAAAATGTGCCATTCTGAAAGCCTCAGCAAAATGTGTGGATAACAATAGGTAGTTCAACCTGTTGACAGCAAACCCACAAGTGAAAAAAACTTCACCTCTGAATCTCAACAGTAAAACAAAAACTGAGCAAAACCAAACTGATATTTATGTAAGCATTGGGAAATACCCAGTTTGGCAGGGAGAAGGGGTCAAGCATGGAGCTAGTCTGTAGTCACTGCACAACCAGCAAAAGGGTTAGGACTGATCCCTTCCTTCCAGTTCCTTGAAGACTTATTTAATTGTTCCCAAGAGTGGGCTGCCAGAACAAGGAGATTTCTTGTATTATAGGCAGAACATAATAGTTAGCTTNCAAGTACGCAGATCCACTACCATGAAGGGCTTTATAGGTAGTGAGAAGCACCTTGAAGCGCACCCGGAGATCAACAGGTAGCCAGTGCAGCTCGCGGAGGATAGGTGTTATGTGGGCGAACCAAGGTGCGCCCACGATCACTCGCGCAGCCGCATTCTGAACTAGCTGAAGTCGCCGGATGCTCTTCTTTAATTGAAGTAGCATATCAGGGCTACAAAAGTCAGTTTTCAGGCCATATAACAACCACTAGTTGCTACGCTTTTCTTTTAGCACATTCAACAAATGATTTCAATCTTTATCTTGAGGAATAAGTTAAAAAAGCTATTCCAGTATTATCTTGAGATGGTGGTTGTGTAATTGTGGCTAAGGGAATATAGAAGATTGTTGCCAGAGATTAGTTAGTTACAGTGATAAAATGGATTCATATTTCCAAACAGCCTCCCCACCAAAAAAAATTAAGCATGAAGGGAAGATATCTCCGTTCTTGATTGTTCTCAATATAGGAAATTCAACAATGAACCAGCTTTGTTGATTGGATAGATTTACTGTAGACTTATCAGGCTGCCTTAGAAAAGCTACTTCTCTGAGCCTCAAACCCTGTTTCCACACACCTTCAATGGCTGTGTTTCTAGAGCATACTTATAATGAACTAAACCACGGTTTAGGTAATTTTCTGAGTTCATTCAATACACTGAACCATAAATTAGCCACAGAGGATAGGTTTATTCAACACAACAGGCTAAAATGTGGCTGGCTAGTTTTTAGTAGCTGTGGCATGCAAACACAGCCAATATAACCATACTTATTTAGCCTTACCACACATGTATTTACAATGTTACTTCTCTTTAAAAGCATATAAGCAAAAAAGTTGCACTAGTAGTCATGTGTTATGACTATTAGATACTGGCAACATTCTTGGGGGACTAGGGAATCTACTGTATTCATTTGCAAGAATTCAACCCATCATCTTAGGTAAGATGAGGATATAGTGGCCTGTCACAGGCCTGTTGAAAGACAAGATAAATAATACAGTGGCATATTCAAGCAGAATAAAGATGTTTATTCTTGAATGTTTGAATGATTTAGTAAAGTATTTTGAACTAGGGAGATCCAAGTCCACCCTTATCCCACAGAGGAACTGTTAGGAAAATTGCAGAAGTACTATGTATGCTACTTTCAGTTCTTTGTGGAAGAAGAGTTTGCAACACTGGTCTACTTTACTGAGTAAATGTGAAGTAAACAAATTATATGTCAGCGATAAAGATCTTCAGATTTTTTGTTTGGTCAATGTGTTTTGCTGACTTTTGTTACTGAAGGCAGGGGTTTAATCAACTGTAAGACCACAAAGCATATTAGTCTAGTGAGTACTTGACTAGATCCACATATATAATTATGTTATTATTAATTACACAATGATGTTCATTAAAAAAATTACCACACCATTACGACAAAGTCACTGAGATGCAACACAGAAAACCTGTCCAAATATATCTTTCTAGTTACTATAGATAGCCTTTTAAAAATTACATTTTTATTTATGAAATTTATCCCCCATCCCCTTTCAGAAATGCGGGACTGTTTTCCAATTTTATCCTCACAACCACCACACTCTAGTAGGCTTGGCCCAGAGACTGTGATTGGCCCAAATGAAAGGTTTTTAATGAAATGTTCATATGATGACAATATTACCAATTAGTTATGGAAGCTGAATAATGTCAATACGTTGAAATTGTAAAACCACTATTTATCATAAAACATATTTTACCTTTCTTTTACCAGAAAGGTTCCTAAAAAGGACTGAAAAAAATCAGTGATATAATACAGCACAGTTCCTGTTCCAGGGTTTTAATGTAAAATATACATTTATCAGAATCAAAGGGAGAGGAATAATAAAATTCAAGCATAAGGTCCAAAGACAGACCTTCTTTCACTATTATACTAATAAAGAAATCTTGTGCAACTCTTCTCTTTGCTTCCTTAACTAAGATTAGAAACAAAGATGGAAGGTGAGAAAAACCTAAGATGTCTAAAAAAAGAAGAAGAAATCATATCTTCTTATCCTGAGGGACAAAATAGATGTGAGAGAGCAAGTTCTTTGATTGAGCCACTCCCCACATTTGGTGTTCCCGGAGGGAAACAAAGGGTACAAATTCCATATGCAAAAAAACAACACACACAGACAGAAAGAAGGGAAAGGAGAAGGCGGCGTATAGACGGGGTAGGAGAAACAGCAACAAGTGCACCCAATTCTTAAATCAGCTTTGTCCTTAATTTGGCTCCTTGCAGAAGCCCCGTGCTTCAATTCGCATGACATCCAGCTGGCATGCAGCTACTGGCTGAGGCTGGGGGAACTGGCAATCTAACACATCTGGATTATCAGGTTGGGGGAACTTGTGACTTAAAATCTGACAGATGCTGAAGATGCGCTATCGCTTACATGATGGCCTATCCCACCCTTCACGTCTGCCCCCCCCCCGCCTTTGGTTAGGCTGCCAGCCTCCTCCTGCTCACCTCATCCTCCTTATGGTTGCGGATGCCCCGCACCAGATCCTGCAGGTTCTTGTCAAACATGCGGTCGATGCTCCCCTTCACCATCTTCAACGCCATCGTGGAGAGGGAGAGCCGACGGAGCGGGAGAAGCCAAACTAAATGAAAAAGAAGGCAGCGTTCCGCTTAGAAAGGAAGACACGCCACAGGAGTCAGGAATCAGGCAGAGAAAGGCAGGTCGGCGGCGGGTCACATCCCGTGGGCTGGAAAGAGCGTCGCCGGTTTGCCCGCCTGCTCCCCTTCCCCTTTTCTTTGCCTCCCGCCCCACCGGCGCTTTTTCTGAGGTAAAAGCCGGAGCGGCGGACAAAATGGCGGACAGTCAGCTGAGTGAACTCAGGCCACACCTCCTATCCTCCAGGCCAGCCTCCCGTCCCAGCATCACGACCGCCTTATGCGTTCAAGTTTATAGCACTACACAGGAACTGTGTGAAATTTATGGTTGGTCCATAGAGTAAGTTAATGATGTTAGTGAACCAACGTCACATCCGTCTGCCGCTCTCTCCTTTGCTCCCTCCGTCTCTGTATCACTAGCTTTGCTCATTGGGCCGTTTGAGTCCACGCGTCAACTGAGCTGGCTTCTTATTCTCCCACGCCTAAGTGCGAAAGCCATGATTACAGAAGCATGCCAAAAACCTCTTAAACATTTTTTTAGCTTATTCGACATTACTACAAGAGACTGACAGGGATATCCCGCTATAGCTGCATGATGGTGGCTGTCGTACTGAACTACAAACCACTCAAGTCTAACGTGTTTATGAAATCAATTCCTATGATTAGTTTCGTGGTTCAGTGACAACCATAGTTTAGTCTGTTTACCTTTCTGGATTTCTAGAATAGGAATAAAAAAATCTAACGGCTAAAGCTCAAATCCATATTTGCTTTTATTCTCGACAGTGATTTAGGAATATTTTTGCTACCATTAATTTAGAAAACAAGATTAAAATTGGAAGCATGTTTGTATTAACTTTGGCATTTAGTTAACCCACTATTCTGGGTTTGATACTGAATTATAAATCGGCTTCATATGCTGACATTGTACATCATATCACTTAGCTATATCAAGGTTGGGTATTTTGTGTTCTTGGGCTGACTGCTATTACTATTTTGTTTAATCTGTTTTCCTTTCATTTTAGAGTATTGCTTTGTTTTTATGCATTTTATGATTTAATTTCTGAATTCAGACATTTGATTTGTTTTACCTAGAGAAAAAGTGAAATATAAATTATTGTAGTTACATTTTAATATATTCTATCCTGCTTTTCATTCAAACGTTTTAACAGTTTCACTTACTTAAGATAACTCTTCAATTTTACTAACACTGCAAATGGAGGAAAAAAGCATAATACCAATTCTTAAAGTAAAATATTATTAGCTGGTATACTTCAGGAAAAGTAAGTATCTACTGAAGGTAGTTATCAGAGAGGATAGACTTTATCACTTCAGTTCTTAATATTATCCATTCAGTCATGTATGACTTTTGGCGATTCTGTGGGCGGTTCACCGACAAATGCGCGCACGACAAATGCGTGCCAATAAAACCGCAGTGAGAAAACCACGATGTCAAAATCGCGCCAAAAGCGTGCCGACAACAGCGCGCCATCAACAAACAACGCGAAAACAACATAACTCTAACCCTAACCTTTACCTTAACCGTAATCACGCTTTTGTCGGTGCACTGTTGTGGGCACGATTTTGACATCGTGGTTTTCTCGCCGCGGTTTCGTCAGTGCACTTTTATCGGGTACGCATTTGTCGGGTCACGTCTGTGGGCTAGGTCTTTCCTCTTCTTCCTTCTTGAATGTTTTCATCCTCTGGCTGATGTAAGCTCTGATGGTGTTTAGCAACTGTGTTCTTTGATATCCTGGTTTTCTTTTACCTACTCTTCCAAACATAGATGCTTTCTTTAATGAATTCCTCCGCATGACATGGCCAAAGTAAGTGAGATGCAGTTTCATGATTTTGTCTTCCAGTGATATGTCTGTTATGCGCTCCAATACTTGCTTTTTAGTCATCTTTGCTGTCCAAGGAATATGCAGGAGCCTTCTCCAGGACCACACCTTGACATATAAGAAGTTAAATAGTAATATGTGCTTTCAGAACTATAAAGCTTGTATTAGGGAAGGTGAAACTATGTACCTTAAGGTGGAATTTATTTGCACAGTCACAACATTGCCAGCCATATTCTAACATAGCATAGTATTGTATGAAGCCAAACTCTGCCTTTCCCCGTTTCGGTGGGTTTATAAGACTGGCTAATCAGTGCAGAAATGTTGCCATATTGTTAGAGTCTACGTTTTACCAACACTAGTTAGCCAATATTTGGTAGGGGTTGTAATTTAGTACCATATAACTAGCCACAGAATTCTGCAAATGTGTGTTATACTCACAACACGTTCCCTTGAACCCTGTGTATGACAAATAGATAGCCATGATGGCAAACCTATGGCACATATGCCACAGGTGGCACACGGAGCCATTTGTTAGGGCATGGGAGTTGTCCTGTCAGGTCTGCTGACTTTGGCCTTCTTTTGAGGCCGTTTTTCGCCCTCCGGAGCGCGAAAAACGGGCAAACCAGAAATCCATTCCAAACTTCCACTTTGGCCACAGGGCCATTTTCTGCCCTCCGGAGCGTTCAGGCGGCTTCCCTGAAGGCTCCGGAGGGCAAAAAAAGGCCCTACGAACAAACCGGAAGTCCATTCCCAAACTTTAATTGCAAACTACTTCAAGTGCAGTTTGGTACAGAAAAATTACCTATAAGTTATTTTGATAAATAGAACATTTTATATTGCTGCACAATAAAAAATAATCATAAATGCACTGGCTATGAACATGCAGCAAACTAATCAAATTTTACCTATTATGTGAATGCTTCATCATGTTATACAAACCAAGCATGATGTGCAAACTGACTATGTCTTATTTTGGATTAGCATATATGAATTCATTCAAACCATCATTTATTATGGTGTGCAAATGTGGCAAAAAGGAAACATCTATTTTGGACCACAAACTCATTGAAGTGGGCACTTCTAAAACTTCCATAGATATATAGCAATAGCAGTAGACTTATATACCGCTTCATAGGNCTAGGGTTGAGAATGAGTGATTGGTTCAGTTACCCAGCCGGCTTTGTGCCCAAAGCAGGACTATAACATACAGTCTCCTGGTTTCTAGCCTGATGTCTTAAACACTACACCAAACTGGCTCTCTTCTATGAGCATTGAGAATGCTATGCATTCTGGGGAGACTATAGTATAATGCGTGCCCAGGAAAACATCCAAATATTATGACTGAAATAATGATCAATAATGTTCAGGACACAGTATCTTAAAGGTAGTGTCCTTTCCTTATCAGAAAGGTTCTTGCTAGGCTGGAATGATAGCCATGGAGACTTGGAGGTTTTCAATGAAAATATAAAGTATCCTGAGAACACTATATGGAGGAGGAATAGCATTAGCAAGAAGAAAGATCTGCCTTCTCCCCCTCACCATCACACTTTGTTCTCCCATCTGAAGCTGCTGAAGGTCAAGTGTGATTTTTAACACACTTAAACCAAGAGTCATTCTGAACTGCAATTGGGCCACTGTGGAATATATTCCTGCATATTTTGCAGTGCATATTAATCAGCTGGGCAATAGCAACTCATGGCAGCTACAGAAACATTAATCTAAAACATATAAGATATATGTATTTCAGGCACGGCATCACCAAAGCAATTTACACCCTTTTCTGTTTACTGAAGGTCAAAGCATGTACATTAACTGAAACAATGGCCTAAAGCTAGGCAGCCACTTGGCATTAGATCAAAACTTAATTCTGGCAAACCACATTAAATCCTAGAGAAGAAGGAGAGAACTGAATGTCATTGTGGAGCAGGGAAGGGGATAGGCAGAAGTCATTCAGATCATAGTAGGCAAGAGGTTTAAGAGCCTTAAAAAAGTTGGGAAATAGTCAGGTTGGGAAGGGGAATGAAAGTGGAGGGGAAGACAGGAGGAGTTGACGTCGCGACAACATGACGTGTGATCTGGGAGCTCCAAGATCACAGTTGATATTTCTGCCGCTGGACAGTCCATTTGGACCTAAACCATCCCGCAGAGATGGTGATAGTGAAGAGTACATCCTGATGATCTCAGGGACACCACAAAGTCCCTGATTGATCCAGCTGATGGAAGGAGCAGATTGAGGGTTTTGAGTTTTCATGAGATACGAAATGAACAACAACTTGCGAAGAGAAGTCCATACAAGACTTACTAAGAAAGTAATCAGAATACTAAAGCTACAAATGGCAAAAGACATAA